AACACCAGCCCTGAACACAACTGGGAAAAACTTTGAAGAGGATCAAAGTGGAAGCCCGTCTGGGAGGAAGCAGACCCTGAACATAAACAACAGAGTGCTGGAGACATTTTTTTGAGCCCAAGATCATCCAGCCACATCTGCAGCCAAGAAGTCCCCTTCCTGCATCAGCCTGTTTAAAACTGGTTTCTGTCACTCGTAGCCAAGAGTCTTGTTTAAGACCATCCCTGAAAATTCTCCCTGAAGGTATGACAATCATTTCCTCACAGGCTGGGTTAGTGGTGACCTGGGGCTCTGGGGATTTATTTCAGAGGTTCATATTCATAGCAAACACAGTCTTTATTTGTATTTCATACGTATTTGGGGTGGTTTAGTGGGGTGGGATGGATGTGTGTCTGTGGGTGCATGCACACGTATGTTAGAAGTTCTTTCAAGCTTCTTTATTTAAATGTTTGTTTAAATAGCTGATAAAGATCACTGAGGGAAATCCAGTCAGGGACACAGCCTGTTTATTTGCCACGAGAGATCATGTGTAAATTGACAGAAACTAACATTATTTGGGTCCACGATTTAGCTTTTTTTAAATCCAGGTCATATTGTTTGTGGGAATGTAAAATGTTACAGCTGCTGTGGAAAACAGTTTGGCAGTTCCTTAATAAGTTAAATACAAAATTACCATGTGATCCAGCAATTCCATTCAGATACTGTACACCAATGTTCATAGCAGCCTTCTTTATAATAGCCAACAGATAGAAACAACCCAAATGTCCATCAACATATGAATGGATAAACAAAATATGCATATGCATATCACAGAATATTTTTCAGTCTTAAGGAGTAATAGAATTCTGATACATGTGAAACATGGATGAACTTTGTAAACATCATGCTAAGTGAAATAAGCCAGACAAAAAGGACAAATATTGTATGATTCCACTTATATGAGGTACCTGGAATAGGCAAATTCATAGAGACAGAAAGTACAATAGAGATTACCAGAGGCTAGAGGGAGGGAAGGATGGGGAGTTGTTATTATCTTATGGGTACAGAGCTTCCGTTTGAGATAATGAAAAAGTTCTCAAAGTGGATAGTGGTGATAATTGATAACATGGTGAACATACTTAATGCCACTGAGTTGTACATGGTTAAAAGTTGTACATGGTAAACTTTATATTATGTACATTTTACCAAAAAAAAAAAAAAAAAGAACAAATATAACTTGCAGACATCGGTACTTCCTCTTAAATACTTTAGCATGCATATCATTAATGAGGGTTCAGTATTTACATTTTTTCTTTTTGTGTAAAATTTACATATAATGAACTGCACAAATCTTAAGAGCAGAGATTTTTGAGTTTTAACAAATGCCTACACCTATATAACCCAAATCTTTATCAAGATATAGAATGTTATCATCACCCCAGAAAGTTCCCTCATGTCCTTCCCAGTAAAATGGTTTACTTAAGTTCTCTTCAGAACTGGGTTTGGGGAAAGGGAAGGGTTTCCTTAAAAAATGTTCGAAAGTTGATGGAAAATTGTGAGCACATAGTTGTTTTCCTTGGCCAACTATGTCATTTTGCAACCAAAGTTTGTTTGGTGTAAAATGAAGTTATGTAACATGAAATACTTCATAATTCTCTGTGAACAGTATTGTAGGTATTATTTTATTGTTTTAATTATTTTTGGGGGAAGCAGTTTCAGGTTGGAGAAATAAACTCTAGATCATGGAATGTTTGGTGACTAGGTGTCCTCAATCCTAAAGGCTGAAACCTTGAAGACACTTTCTGTTAAAAATTACAGGATGGACAGAAATAATCTATAAAAAGCATTTGGGAAAAAACACCTTTGCTCAGAATTAACTATGATTAGACAACATCAAGAGGTTATTTGGGTCATCTTAAAATGTTAGAAAATAAAAAGAATAAAAATATTCTAAGTGTGTATGTGTATTAAGGGGTATAAGGTGGGGATGACAGCAAGACAAAGATCAGGTGGGTAATCAAGGAAGGGGTGATGCAGAGTGGAGGTATGCATCAAGGAGAAAGTTTCTGTGATGTTTAAATGCTATTTATAGACTTAGCTAAGCTATAGTGCTTTGTGGTTTAGTCAAACACTAGTCTAGATGTTGCTGTGAAGGTTGTTTTGTAGATGTAATTAGCATCTATAACCAGCTGACTTCGAGCAAAGCAGAGTACCCTCCATAATGTGGGTAGGACTTATCCAATCAGTTGAAGGCCTTATGAGCCAAAACTGAGATTTCCTAGAGAAGAAATTCTGCCTTAAGATTGTAACATAGAAATAGTGACTGAGTTTCCAGCTGGTCAGCCTGACGTAGGAATTTTTGACTTGCCAGCCTCCACAATAGCATAAGCCAATTCCTTAAAATGCAGATTTTGTTACTGACCATAGTTCTAAAGGAAAAAAATGTTAAGAATGAGTTTCCTGAATTGGTTTCTGGAACTGATTCTCTAATCTGATTAGTGGTAAGGAGAGCACTGATAATTCGTGGTATAATGTGGCAACAGAGGTATGCAAAATTACCACCGTTGAATACTTCTAATAAAATACCTGTAAGAGGTATGGTTCTGAGTGACTATTTATTTATAAGTAGAACACTTTGGTCAAACTAATGAGTATGAGATTGGCTCTTTGCTTATAACTGCACTGGACAAGAGGGGAAGAAAAAGTATGAATTCAGGGCTTTGAATTCCTGGCTCAAGAGCCGCCTAAATGACCAAAGTTTCTATATTTGCCCTGAAAGAATTTCTTATCACTTGTAGCCACAGAGCTAAGATTTCTGAAAACCAAAGCCAAAATATCATCCTCCAAGTGGCTGAATTACAATGCCAATCAAATTCCCAACTCAGAGTATGAGCTGTTAAAGTAAGGGCATTTATCGGGAAGGAATGTCCTAAAATTCAAAATGGGGATATATGGAGACATCCTGATAAAGCTGGCGATGTTGAACCCCTAAATCCTGCTGAGTCTTCTTTGCCAGGAGAAGCAGGCCTACCACTGTCTGAGGGACCCTGCTTTGCCAGGCAATGCCCCTCCCTAAGGTAGTTTCCTTGCAAGACACTGCTGATTTCTTGGGACCTGCCCTCACCAATCCTCTTTGTAAACCTAAAACTAGACTCAGGTCTCAGCAGGCCCTGAAAAGTGAGGAGGTGCACTACGCTCCAAAAGAATTGCCTGATTTTTCCAGTTTATATAGACATATATCTGGGAAATATGGGTATGAATGAATATTAAGGGTGTGGGGGTAATAGTGAAAGGAAAGTTATTTCAGACTGAGTTTATTGATATGGACCTATTATGCAGAGATTACAATACTGTAACTCAAGGCGGGGTTACCTAGGTAACCACATACTTAGGCAATTTTGTTCCCTTCTGTGTTTATTTTTAATTCAGAAATTAGGTAGCTAAACCCAAATTTGGCCTAGTGTTCTCTCACCCATCTTCCAAGACCAGAACCATTTTTGTAGCCCACCCTTATCTCCTGTGGACCTTGAACACACTTTTCCAGTACTTACCAAGCACCTGAGATTTGTTCATCACAACCACAAAATTTACTTTTGCTGACACTACGTACCAAATGAGGCTTTTCCTGGAAAAATTATGTAGAATGCCATCAGAGACTTGGCAGAAAAAAGACAGAACAGCCTTGGCAAGCCACTTGTGTCTGATACTTTCTGAACTGCAAAGTAGTCACATGGCCTTCACTAGCAATTCAGGAAGATGCTGCAGTAACTGGCTCTGAGACTTTTATCACATAACCTTATTAGGTTATAACCATTTTGAGTACAAGAAAGAGGAGCTCCTTTTCTAGTATTTAAAACCTACAAATTGGTATTGTCTGTTCAGGTCCTCTGCCCATTTTTAAATTGGATTGTTATTTTTTTGTTGTTAATTTGTATGATTTCCTTATATATTTTGGATATTAGCCTCTTATTGGAGGTGTTATTTGCAATATATTCTCCCATTCGGCTGGTTGCCTCTGTTTTGTTGATGGTTTTTTTTTTTTTTTTTTTGCTGTGCAGAAGCTTTTTAGTTTGATATAATCCCATTCATTTATTCTTGATTTAATTCCCTTGTCTTTCAGATCAAATTCATAAAATCCTCTCTAAAACCAAGGTCCATGAGTTTATTATCTATGTTTTCTTCTACGCAATTTATTACTTCAGGTCTTATATTTAGGTCTTTGATGCATTTTGAGTTAATTTTGATAGCAGTCTAGTTCATTGCAGCATTATTCATGGTGGCCAAAACATGGAAACAATCAAAGTGCTCTTCAGTAGATGATTGGATAAAGAAGATATATATATATATGTATGTATGTATACACACACACACACACACACACACACAATGGAATTTTACTCAGCCATAAAAAAAGATGAAATAGTGCCATTTGCAACTACATGGAATGGATCTTGAGACTATCATGCTTACCGAAATAAGTCAGAAAAAGTTGAGAACCATATGATTTCATTCATATCTGTGATATAACACTGAAAGCAACAAACGAATGAGACAAAACTCATAGACATGTACAACAGTTTAGTGGTTACCAAAGGCAAAGGGTGAGGGGAGGTAGAAAAGGGTAAAGGGGTCAAATATGATGATGAAAGGAAATTTGACTTTGGGCGGTGAACACACAGTGCAATATACATATGACATATTATTGAATTATACACTTGTAATCTATATAATTTTATTAACCAATGTCACCCCAATAAATTTAACTTAAAAAAAGTGAATTATTAAAACAAATTTACCTTTGTTCTTCCAGATTGTCATTTTGCTAGATTCAAGAGTTAGGTCAACATAGCAAATGGGCAGCTGACATGAAATCTGCATATTTATAACTAGAAGATCCAGAGGGCTACCCAGTGTCTTTCTCCAATACAGTGCTGACACATTCAGTTATGTCTTTATAGCCCAATTGTATTTCCCGACCATACAAAAGTTAATGCGTTAAAAACAGAAATAAGTTCCACTTCTACATATTGAATTAAACTTTATTTTAAAAGGTAAAGTTTTATATATCCTTTTAAAAAATAAAAATTCAAAAGTCTTAGAATTAAGCAATAAGTCTTCAACATTATAAAGCTATTTATAACAGTAATTAAAGTACTGGTAACATTTACCCTTATAAAAATGTCACAGAATTCACATCAAAACTTGGATCCTTAATGATTCAAGTGTCTTATTTTACACAATAAGGGTTTGATCAGTTTTAAGGTAAAATTCCTCTGGAGATATGCTGTCCTCAAGGCTTCTATTACCACTGTCCATCAGCTCACACAGTGGGATAGCTGGCTGCCGTGGCAATTCCACAGTGGTTGTTCTGGTCTTTGGCCATTTTTACATAGCCATTCATGCCCCATTCTGGACCCCAGCTGAAAGAAGAGCATGTTTTCCACTTTATACAAAGAATCAAGTACACATTAGATTCATTAATAATAATAGCTAATACTTAACATAGTGCTTACCATGCATCAGGCACTATTCCTAAGTACTATTACATATATTCATAAGTATATTAATTCCCCTGGGTCCTTTACTTATTAAGATAGGAAACTGAAGCAGAACTAAGATTCCAATGTAGCAATGTGTTTCCACAGGCTATCTTATACATCATCTCAATTAAAAAACTTTAGCTATGAAAATTGCTCATGACAACCCCTAAGGCCTCTGAGAGCTGAGAAGCAGAATGCAATGGTAAAGTATCAGCTGATAATAGGAAGGATGCAAAGAAGCCACCGGGCTCTTGGACAATTTTTAGACTTAAATAGTCTGCAGAAGCAAATGTTTCTGCTCACTATCTTGTTGAAATATTGGAGACAGAAAAGGAAACCATTCCTCAAACCTACAGGTGAAAAATCCTTTATCTGAAACTCGAGGCCAGATGTATTTCTGAATTAAGAAAATTTTCAGAATTTTGAAATGCAGTGTTACAAATATATAATAACCCCAACAAGGTTGCTACAGAATCTTATAAACAAACATTAGAACTTCCGTGTTGACTCTATGTGGGAGAAAGACTTTTGGGATTTCAAGATTGAGCTTTAATGGACATGAAACCATATACTGATTCCAAAAGGGTTCCCGTTTCAATTTCAAATATCACATTTGGAGTTTTATACCTGTTCTTGACAATCCAAAATTTATTGCTCTTTGGGTCTCCTCCTTCAGAGCCATAGCCAATCACCAGAACACCATGATCCAGGTCTTTGCTGCTGCAGTCTGGTTCATAATAAATGCCTAGGAGAGTAAAATTCAATGTTGAGGTGAGAAGCTCCCAGTGACAGGTGACAGTAACCCACTCTATCAACCACGGTTAAGAAAGGCATCTCAAAATTCAGTGAAATGTCAAAAACAAATTTCAAATAAGTCATATATTTGCCAACCCCACCCCCAGTAATGCCTGATTAAAAGAATAAAGTTAAACTTAACTCACTATAAATCAATTAAATTTAACTAAATTCAATATATTTTCTATTAAAAAAAGATTTCTAATATGATCTAGTTATCAAGACTGAGGTGATTTAGGCATTGATCTACTAACTGATATTAGCATAATCCTTCTTACTCCTAGAATGCCAACTAAGGAAACAGCCTATTAAAGGTTCTATATGAACCCTTGAGCCATAGGATGCTTTATTGTTCTAATTACAGTAAGAAATTTTTGGAAAAAAGGTCCAACAATTGGAGGATAGGTAAATCAGGTTGTATCTATAAAATTAATGACAGAGCCATTTAAAATTATTTACGAAAAATTTTTCATCATGAGAAAATGCTTTTTAATATAATGTCCAATGGAAACAACGTTATGTTAAATGTATACATTCAAAAGAAGGACTTCATACCAAAAAGTTAATCATGGTGGTATTTTCCAATTTTCCCTGTATGAATTTCTAGAATAAAAAGACAAACACTTACCTTTGTTATAGAACTGGAACGATGAATGGCCTGCATCAATAGCAACAGAGATGGGCCCCACAGTTGCCACTGCCTTCATAAGGGACTTCTCCCGCTGAGGGATGTCCACGAAGCCAGTGTCGTTGGCAGCAGAATATTCAGGCTTGTAGTTACAGGTATCTGATTCCTTTTAAAGGCAAATAGGAAAGAGACTTGATTACTACCATCATCCTCCTGGGGAACATTAGTTCTAGGACTCCAAGACTCAGCAGTTTGCACCTTAATGATTTCTAAGTCAACTTTGTTATACAGCAGCTCAGGAAGCAAAATATTATTGGTTGGTTTGAAACTGAAAAATTAGTAGATTTTTTTCAATGAGACCCCTTAGGTCTACCTGTCCATAAGAAATTTTTCACTATGGAGAAATTTGTATTATATGTAGAATGGTGTACATAGTCTCCATGTTACATAGAAGTAAGAACAGCTATATGTTAACCATCTAACGAGAGAACTGTGCAAAGTTTGATAATTTATAATGACAGTTCTGAGAGTTTGCATCTAAAATATGAATGCAGAATAACGTGTCCATTTTCTCTGAAAAGGTTCAACTTTTAAAAGCACCGGAATAACAAGGAGCTTTGTTTACCTTTGCTAGATAAGGATAGGATTCCTCTGAGTCTAGGCCTCCGTTGTCCTTGATATACTGGAAGGCATTATCCATTAGGCCACCATTGCAGCCCTCATTGCCTTGAGACCGAGAACAGTCCACCAGGTTCTGCTCACTCAGTGAAACAAGTTTGCCAGTTTTCCGGAACATCTGTCCTTCAAGGGAACCAGTTGCACTAAAAGCCCAACAGGAACCACACTGACCCTGAAAGTAAAAAAAGCTATCAGTTTATAAGACAAATACAAAGACTGACAACAGCCCACATACCTGAACACTCTTAAAAGTCAGCAAACTGTATGTTACTCCACAGTTTACCAAAGCCGGTATGCCATTCCTTTTTGGCTTTCCTGAGATAAAGGATCTGAATCTGAATACTCTCATACCTGATTCTTCACAGGAGTTACATAGCCTTTCTGTCTCCAATCCACAGATGGCGGGATCTGAGCAAAGAGAGGTTCTCTGAACACTTTCCCTTTCTTGTGCTTCTGGTTTTGAAAGCCATTCATTATCTGCCTGAATTCTTCATTGGTCTATAAATAAAAGTAAAAACAAAAAATTGTTGAAAAAGCAAGAGGTAATTTTGCTAGAGTATTGAGGAGAGGAAGCATAAAAAGTTAAGCAACCCACTCCACACTCACCATGTCACCAAAGGCATTCATTGCCATTGTGAAGCCATGTTTCCTTTGGCTGTATTCCCGATTGTGCAGTTCAATCATTTTCATATTCTTCTCCCACACTGCTCTCCTCCATCCTTCTTCATTCTAGAGGCAAACATATAACCTATCTTCTTTATTTCTACTTAAAACCCAGCCCATCCTTACCAAGAGAGGAAGAAAAACCAGGGATGGCTTTATATTTCTGGGAGCTGTTCTCCAAGTTCCAGCACAGGGATATACACCTATATTGTGCTCAGTAAAGACTGCCATTAAGTTATTGCCTTGGTAAAAGCTGACCTCTAGAAGCTACTCTCTGCTATGAACTTCCAACAGCCTTCTCTAAAGGGTCCCTCTGTACAGTTTCAGATGTTACCAACCACGCCATATAGTCTTCTGTGTGTTGCCTTCCACTGATACCACTGTGCATCCAAACTTTGATCAAGTTTTGGAATAGCTGAGACTATTCCCAAGCAAAGGGTAGCCAGGAAGAGTGAGGGATTCATGTTTCAAAAACCTAGAAAGGGAAAAAAATGAGTATTCGATTAGACCAATCCTTCTAAAAGCCATTCGACTTTCTCCTGAGACATTATAGTCACTATGGTGGAGTAAAAACGTTTAATTTATCCTTGCAAGTATTTACACAAGGACTAGGAGGAAGGCTAAGGATGTGGGTGGAGTAAAACAGGCCGAGGACTTATCAAATAGTGGAAGTATAGAATTTAGCCATCAAAATGAAAAACAGGCTGACAAGTGCTATAGGAACTGAAACAGACTTCACTGTAATAGTGCAATGATAATTTAGGTTTTGATAAGGGTCTCAGGGTACTTTATGGGTCAGAATCTTAAAGCAACTAGGAAACTGTTGGTCCGGTTATTTACTCAAGGTACCAAAGTGAGCTGGTAAATCTTATTTAGCAAGATGCCTGATCCCAAGTAGGGACAGGGATTCCCAGCATTACACCTTTCTTCTTGACTACTGTACGGCAGGAGGTGAGATATGCCTTCAAACCTCTGTTTCTTGAATTTGAAACCTTTTTGAAAGGCCTTCCCAGAAGATGGGTAGGAGTGCGCCCAGCACTCTGCTACCCCCACACCTCGCCTCTGCCCTCCAACACTCCCAGTCCCTCCTCCCCCAAACCCGCGACGCGATCACGTGGCATGAAGTTGCCCCGAGACCTCCGTTCCCGCGCCTGCACAGGGTCGTGACCTCCCAGGGCTCAGGATACAAGCCAGGGCTAGGTGTCCCCGACGCTATTAGGCAGGGCCGGGACGCGGGAATGTCGCTCCGCCCCTCGCACACGCCCGCCGCTCCCAGAGGTTGTTGACGCAGCGTTGGGAGCCGGCCCCGCAGCCCCGCGGGCAGGGGTCACGCTGCCTGACTGGTGTCCGCCACCGCCCTGCGGCTGACCAACTCCTGCACAACCTCGAACCCCGGTGGTCTCAGCGCCGCCCAGGGTTCCCCGAATTTCCATTCCACCATTCCCCACCTCAAGGATGGCAGGGCTCGCGGCAACGCCGATCCAGCCTCACCAGCTCCGGGCAGACTCTCTCGTTCCTGGGGGTCTCGCGCACCCCTCGCCCATGTGCCTGAATGGCTGCCCCCGCCTCCAGTCCCTGTCCTTGACGCGCCTTGGCCGTAGACCACAGTACTGACCTGTGGCAGCTACAGCTGCGCATACGCACGTAACTCCTCTAAGATCGCCGAGACTGGCGGTTCTGGCCCAGTTGCCCCTGACTCAGCCTTTAAGGCCCTGGGTTTCGGCCGCCCCTCCCCCACCGCCTGTCCGCGCCGCGATTGGCTGAGCCGGCCTGGGGCGGGGTCTGCGGGCTCTGGGACTCCCGGCGCTTGACCCGGGTCGGTCCCAACTTGTCCTGGGATAAGTCCTATCTGTGTCAGTGGACTGGAAAGAGGCGAGCTGGCTCTCATAGACAAGTTCCGCATGACTTAATTTCCCCAAATTCTTGGTCTTGGTGGTAGTTCATGAAAAGATTACAAGGAGCCCCAAGTGGATTTTCAGTAACCCTGCATGCCCTTTGTTTTTGGTAAAAATCTCAGGAGGGCTGAGAACAGTATAATCTAGTCTGGTGGTTCCTGTTTATTCCACAGCAAAGGTGGAAGAAGGCAGAGCCCACAGTCAGACGTGTGCTCACTGTTTCGGGATGGGTTCAGCTAAGTTTTGGAGGAATCTAGAGTGGAATGGCAATGTCCAAAACACGGGGCATGATGGTCATAGCCCTCCCAAATCCTTGGAAGGAAGGGGGCCGAACCAGGTGGGTCTTCAGAGGAGTGGCATTTGTGATGCACCTTTACTGTCTTCTCCAGTCAGGGAGTCTTTCCTCTGAAGCAAGAGTTATTTACAGAGGAATTTGCCTTAATAAAAAGGAGAAAAGCAATTGAAAAGGGCGGAAACTGCTTTTACTTCCCTAGTCAGTGCTTCTCTTTGGTTTAAGAAATGTACTTTAATAACATTTAGTGTCAGGGTTTAGGTTACGCAGTTTGAAGAAATGTTTTAGATGGAAAAATATGTATATATATAAAAATTTAAGAAAATTCAGAAACGTCTTAAAAAGTTTCTTTTAAGAATTATGTAAGAAACACTTATCGTAGAAAATATATTTTAGAAAATAAACATCCCTCGTCCCCTCCCCCATAACTCTTTTGTAGGTATATCTTTATATATTTTTTTTCACAAAAATGGAGTCACAGCGCATGCCGATTGGTAAACTCTTAGTTAAAATTAAATTGAGAGACTTCATAGACGTACAGACAAATATTTTAAAAAATTAATTTATTAAAAATTTCACTTTATGTCTTTTGAAGTAGCATCCCTTTCGTACGAACACTACCAGGAGCCAGAAGTTCTCAAGTGGTTAGAAAGTATATTGTATTGCATATGGCTGGAGTTTTTTCTTTTTTAAAAAAAAAAATAATTATGGCAGTCAACACAAGTGGAAATAAATGAATACCACCCACATGAAAACAACTTGCTATATCAAGGAAGACAATTCAGACGGCCTGGGTGAGGAAAAGCTTTAAAATGAAAAAAACAAAGAAGCTTCCCTAATCCCTGATTAGAGGTCATTGTCATGGGGAAGCTGGAGGAGAAACAACTAGAAATGGAATATGTTATGTGATTGGTTTGGGGAGAATGTTTGGATATCTTTGGTTTGTCTTGGGTTGGAAGTGGAGGCAGAAATAAGTTGGCAGCCATTCAGCAAGTCCTGACAATTCTGAGGTGGATGCTACAGAGATTTATTTTATAGGTTGGAATTCTATTGTCATATAAAATCTAGCCACTGTCCTTTTGTTTACTTAGTCTATCACAAGAAATCTAAGTTATTTTAACACGTAGGTTTTACAGTTGTCCTTGGGTCATAGCCCCATAAGATTGCACAGTGTGGAAAAACCTGCTACTGCATGACAGCCTGCACCTTAGGCAATAGCCTGACAAGGAGGCTGGGTGGCAGGTGCTGCTCTGAAGAACAGCATCCCATCTGTTTCTTGAAATGTGATACAGACACAATGAAAGAAAAAATGGACTTTATTGCAAATATACTCAAAACCTAAATTAAATCAAGAAATACCTAAATTCAGGAGAAATACAGGAGAAAGCCATTTAAGCAAAGAGTGGAAGATATTGCTCTAACTTATGACATCGATTTATAAATAATATGTTAAATAATGCATTACAGAAATGTGTTATTACTAACATTGTATTCTTCTATTTATATTTCTTTACAAAATAACTTTGATCAGTGCTAATTATTAAAATGTTCACATTTTAGTCAAGTGACCAATCCTTAGCTCTGCCTTTGATAAAATGCAGTTGGCAGATTTCCCAATTCCTATTTAATATACAGTCTCTGTGAAAGTATATTCTTTTGTATGTCTGTCTAGATTTCTTTTGCTCACTAGTAAAACAGGATATAATTCTTTATCCCATCTCTAGAAGTTTTTAACCATATGGGAATGAACAAATCTAGTATGGTGGTATTCAGGACACTGAGGCCATTTGACACCTTTCCCCAATATAACATCTCCTTCGATTTGTTGAAATTCCCTAAACCAAGACTTAACTCTTAAAAAATATTATCCAGAAAACTGTCCACTAGTTAAAAGGTTTATTATGTTTTACAATTTTATGAAAAAGAGCCTGTTTATGATTAGATGTTATTATGAAGCCACTTATAAAATAACTTGTTTTTCTGAGTAGTGTAATCTTGCTTTTCCTACAGGGTTAAACATTAAGCCAATTTATTAATTAAATCAACCATCAAGAATTAATTAAACTCTTACTTTGTGTTCATTGTCTTCTCCTAATGTAGTTTGTACATTTACTTAGCTACATTCTACAGTAACTTTACTAACAGCATTTCTGAAGCTCAGCCTTCCTATTTTAAAATCTGAGATTAACTACAGTAATCTTGAGTTTACAGCATATGAGCACAGCTATGGCCAATATATTTAAATGAGATTATGGCAAAGCACCTTTGTGCAGTATGATAAAGAAAGAGCTGACTCCTAAGACCATAATCCGCTAACTCTCCTTTGGATACCAGAGGCTTTTTTCCTCGAATCTAAAAGAAATCTTTTCATGAATCAAGGTGTATTAGTTTCCTAGGCTGCTGTAACAAATTCCCACAAACTTGATGGCTTAAAACAACAGGAACTTATTCTCTTACAGTTATGGAGATTGGAAGTCCAAAATCAGCATTACATGGGCTGAAAACCAGGAGTTGGTAAGGCTGGTCTCCCTCAACAGGCTCTAAAGGAGAACCTGTTTCTCTCCTCTTCAGCTTTTGGTGGCTTTAGGCACTTCTTGATTTATGGCTACACCATCTCAATCTCTATGTCTGTGGTCACATTGCCTTCTCCTCTTCTGTTTGTGTGGAATTTCCCACCACCTGCTTATAGGAACACTTATGAGTGCATTTAAGGCCCATCCAGATAATCGAGGGTAATCTCTACATCTCAAGATCCTTAATTTAATTACATTTGCAAAAACTTTGCCATATAAGTTAACATTTACATGTTCCAAGAATTAAGACCCTATATCTTTGGGGACCATTATTTAGACTACTGCATATGGCATAAGTAAAAATCAGTTTCTTAAAGGAACACTCATACACTGCTAGTAGGACTGCAAATTGGTACAGCCACTATGGAAAACAGTATGGAGGTTCCTCAAAAAACTAAGAATTGATCTATCATATGATCCAGCAATCCCTCTACTGTGTACTTACCACAAAGACTTGAAAACCCACATCTGAAAAGATATTTGCATACAGATGTTCATATTAGCATTATTCACAATAGGCAGGACATGGAAGCAACTGAAGTGTCCTATGATAGATGATTGAATAAAGAAGCTGTGGTACATATAATCAATGAAATATTACTCAGCTATAAGAAGAGATGAAATACTGCCATTTGCGACAACCTGGATGGACCTTGAGATAATCATGCTAAGCAAAATAAGCCAGACAGAAAATGTTGAAGATCACATAATATCACTTATATGTGGGATATAAACCTAAAGGCAACAAAGGAACAGGACAAACAAACAAACAGAGACTCATGGACATGGACTATAGACTAGTGGTTACCAGAGAGTAAGGGGTGGATGGGGTAAAGGGGATCAAATATGTGGTGACAGAAAGAAATGTAACTATGGGAGGTGAAGGCACAGTGTAAATATATATATGCCTTACTGTTAAAGCTGAAACTTACTGGCTTTCGTTAACCAATGTCACCATAAAAAAAAATAAATTAATTAAAAAAAATCAGTTTCTTGACAAGGCTGGTCAAAAATTTGGGTTTAACATATCTTTAGGCTGGCTTGACTAGGATAATTGGGTCCTAAATTCTATGTAATCTTCCTAAACTAACTTCTTCGCTCATGTGCCTGATTACAGCCAACATTTCATGCCTTGACTCTCCAGTTAGTGCAATATTTGACCCAGTTTTTTAAGTTTCAAGACTCCTATACAGCATTTTTATTACCCCCTCCCCCCTTACTCTTTCCACAACCACCTATCCCATAATATCTGCATATAAAAGCATTGCTTACCCATTTCCAAGACATTTCTGGTTTAGGCTTTGAGCATCTCCCTATTGTAATCATCCCCATTAATAAAGTCTTTCCTTACTAATATAAATTCTTACATTTTTTTTCCTTCTTTATACTTCATATCATTATTGTAACTGGTCAAGAAAGAGAAGACTTTTGTGCTGTTTAGAGAGTCAGCTTGCATATATATGAGCCATAGAAAGCCTACAGGAAAGGCATCTCATTCCGTGTGTATCTGGTACTACTGGAAATTAAAGTGTTATTAGAAAGGATTCCTGTCATGATGATGATGATACTAATAGCTAAATCACACTTAGAAGCCAGGCACTGTTCTGAGCATGTCATACATGATCCTTCATGGACTTTTTGCAGCAATCCTACGACGGTGGTTCTCAGACTTGATTGTGCCTCAGAATCACCTGGAGGGCTTCTGAAACCAGATTGCTGACTCCCATTCCCTGAGTTTCTGTTTCAGTGGGTCTGGGATGGGGTTCTTCAACTGGGTTTTCTAATAAGTTCTTTTCAAAGTTGTTGCTATTGGGGGACCCACTTTGAGAACCACCGCTATAGGAGATGGGTGCTACTGGATGCTCATTTTACAAATGAGGATGGCCACAATGGTGAGGTGTACAAAATCAAAGGGAGTGCCAGGTTCCTCTCTCCAGTGAAGAAGTAACTTAAATGTGCTTTAG